ATCGTTCTCAAATACACATCTGATCTTTGCCAACATGCTACAAGTAGAGCACCCCTAATCCAAAAATCCAAAATCCAAAAGGCTTCAAAATCTGAAAATTTTTGAGCATCAACAAGATGCTCAAGGGAAATGCTCATGGAAGCATTTTAGATTTAAAATTTTTAGATTAGGAATGTTCAACTAGTATGTTTTCTGTAAATATTCCAAAATAAAAAAAAAATCCCAAATCCTGAACACTTTTGGTTCTAAGCATTTCAGACAACAGATGCTCAGCCTGTATTTCAAATATTGCCAAGTTTCTCCTCTACTGTTTAAGATCAGCCTCTTTGGGCTAGATAAGGAGTTTGTAGAGCAGGAACTGTGCTTTGTTACTTTGTTAATCTTTGTGTCCTTGGTACCCAGCACATTGTTTGGCATATCATAATGCTGAATGTTGAACAAATGAAACCCTATTAGCTGTCTAATCTAAACTCAGTAAAAATATAAGAAATCATAACGCTAAAATATTAAAAAAAAAAAGAGCAGTATCATATGCTTCATGGCATATGAGAAAGCAACAACTCTAAATAATTAATTATTGGTTTAAGTACATTTGTAATTACTATCCATTATCACATAATTTTAAACATTTATCCACAGCCCAAATTCCTATCATTTGAGATTCTGATTTTAAAAGCGCTATTGGCAGACATGCTTACCTGCGACTGTTTGTGATTAAGTAGTTTATGTAGTTAAATTTGATTATCTATATTTTTTCTCTTATGAATGAATACTGATTTTAAAAACTAGTAGTTTCTAGATTTTAAACATTAGCCTGATAAACAATTTAATTAGCATCCTGCAGTATTATGGCATTAACTAAAATTTGAAGATAAGGTATAACTCCAGAAAAGGGTTTTAAGAATGTGTGGCACATGCAGATGATTATTTGCTCTAGGATAAAAATTAAATTTCCCCCTTCTAGTAGAGATGAACACTTTCCTTAAGCAGCATGACAGGATGCCATACCTGTGTGAAGGACAGAGAACTGCAGTCTCCAGGTCTGTCAATCTGTTTCCTCCTTCGGGCACTAGGAATTTCAAATAAGAACTTCTTTTAAAGTCATAATTCACTATCCAAATTCAAATATGCTGACTGCAATTCAAAGTGAGTTAAAATAAGCATTTCCTTACCCAATAATATTACATAGAACAGAACTTGACATTTGCTTTGAAAAAAAGGTACTTAGAAGTTTATAAAACCTTTTCCCCCTTTTCTTATGAGCCTTTATAGTGGTAGGTTCAGTCCTGGTAATAAACTGAAATAAGAATCCCTTATCACCGATTCAGGTTTGAAATGAAAGTTTTCAAGAATTCGGGGGAAGGAGACAGCGCCTGTGGCTCAATGGGTAGGGCCCTGGTCCCATATACTGAGGGTGGTAGGTTTGAACCCGTCTCCAGCCCAACTGCAACAAAAAAATAGCTGGGCGTGGTGGCGAGC